ATGTGAATTTTTGTCTCCCTTGGTCTGTTTTGACTCTCTGCACAGCCTGCAACCTCAAAATATGCTGGTAAGAAACTGAACATGTGTAACTGGGAGGGAAAGGGCTTTTCCAATCAAGTGGTTTTAGATCCTTCTTTTTTTTCACTTTGTTAGCACAGATTGAATGCAAACCCCTAATGATGATGTGAGACAAAAGGTGCAAATACCTCTAGCCTAAGGCCTGGGAAAGCACTCAGCACCCCAGCAACTGGAAAGAGCAGGATACTGGATAACACATTTTTAAAGCAAAACCACAAGCATGACACTTGCATCTCCCGCAGTGTGCATATCAGCAATCTATGCTTCCCAGACCTTCTTCATTTCTCCTACATTCTCCTACGAAGGAAAAGCGGGCACTTTTTTGCAAGTGACATAGACAAGCCTTAAAGCTAGAAGGGGTGTGGAAGCTGCCCACCCTCCAGGATCAGTCCCAGACTGAGGGATCTGCGACCTCTCCAGTGGCCACTGCGGCTTCGACCTGCTGCCCGTCCCCCCTCCCCTGCCTGCGCCTGGTGGGCAGCATCTGCCGTGAAGGGGAAGGGGCAGCGCACAGCCCAGCAGCAGCCGTGCACGGATGGGCAGTGACGGTCAGGGCTGCTCAGCAGCACTGACACGGATGTCCTCGTGCCGAGGCCGTTACAATCCCCGCTGCCTGCGGGCCAGCGTGCCTGCTCTGCCCATGCCCTGCAGAAGCCCTGCTCCCAGCTCCCCGCATCTCTCCTCCCCCCCGGGTGCTGGCTGCGGTTCAGGCAATGCCACCACACAGATGGCACTCATTACACTGCTAAGTGTCTCCACTCCGCCTGTCTGTCTCACCATCGGTCCCACCTGGGATGGTTGCACTGCCACTGCCTGCATGGCAGGACTCAGACCTTCGGTCCCCGCGGGGAGCACAGGCGCGTCGCTCAGCCATAGCAAGGGGGAGCCCCGCCAGAAGGAGGGAGGTACGTCTCCTGCAGCTCCATGGCTATCTCTGCTCCAAACATATGCCACAGCGTGGGCGAAGCGGGTTTGCAGGAGAGTAGTGGAGACCCTGCAGGACCTGGAGGGCTTCCTGAGCGTGCCCCGGGCTGCCGGCTGGCCAGCTTGCTCGGCGGTGGCAGTCCCAGACCTTGCTCAGTGTCTTCCCAGGCACAAAGCTGGCCTGATCGATGCCCAGATCTGCCCAACACGCCACTACAAAAGGGTGCTCTACGAGTGCTGTTAACACCAGAGCCAGCCCTGCTGGCTAACACCACACCCCAGCGTCCAGGCAAGGGGGCTGGCAGCTGGCTCTCAGCATCCCTGGCCAGAGATACCCCTCTAAAAACACAAGTGTTTCTGCCTGGTCACCAGCAACAGGGGAAGAGGTGAGACATTACCTCTGCTCAGCGTGGTGTCCTTCTTGTCCGACAAACTCATAGCCAGTGATGCCCCTTCAGGGATCTGCGGAGGAAGGGAAGAGCAGACGTCGATGACGGGGGCCTTAATAGTGCCACCTCACGGAGCCGAGGATAGCCCTGGGGAGATCCTGGGAGCTGGGGGATGCTGGTGCAATCGCTGCTCCGCCACGAACGTCCTCTGCACCTGCCCTGCCCCTACTCCCTGGCTTGGAAACTGGCAGTAACAGCACTGCCCTACATGGAAAGGGTTTTTTAAATGCAAATGCAAGATAGTGAGGTTCTCAAATCTGACGGGAATTGGGCAGATGCATGTATCCAAGATAGATTTTTGGATGTTGACATCAGGTAATTTGAAGA